AGACAGACAGACAGACAGACAGACAGACAGACAGACAGACAGACAGACAAAGACAGACAGACAGACAGACAGACAGACAGACAAACAGACCGACAGACCAACAGACAGACAGATCGACAAACAGGCAGACAGACAGGTAGACAGCCAGACAGTTAGACACACACCAGCACATCAAACAAAACTACGCGTGTCTGTCGGCAGTGTTGCGAAATGAAATTCAACACCAAAACTACGATTTGCACGAGGTTATCACGACCGTTGTTTGCAGTGTCACACGCACACGCACACGCCCCCCCCTCTCCGGTCAGCAAAATCGACTGGGCTCGTGCTCAGAGGCAAGCTTTGGTCTCTCAACATGTGACCGCTCTCACATTTTCCTTTGTTGTTCCATTTGCACTACTCGGCCATTGGTTTAGTTCAATGCATTTACACCTGTTAGCGCTGGGAAGCGTATTAACATAACAAGACCTTTGCTAAATGGCACGTACTCGCACCGCTGTGCGGTTCACTCTGGGAATTTTTGGCGCATTATCGGCGGGAGGTAAATTCATGTAAACGTATTTCGCACAATGAAGTTTCACTTCCTCATTGCGACAATATTTTTTCAGAGGATTTACAATGCAACTGCTTTTTAAAAACAAGTTCCGAAAAACCGCAGTAGAAAGGCTCGCAGAAATGACCTTTTTAAACAGCAGGTGTTTCTAAACTTTTGCAACGAAAAAAAAAAAGTTAGCTGATGGTCTTTTTAAAGTTGCTTTTTCACGTCGCTAAGATTTATTAGCGCACATCATTAAACCACCATATACGTGCATTTCCGTGCGAGGTCCCCAGCCATGTTTCTAGATTGGATTTACGACTAGAATGAGTAAGGCCTACATATGGATTATGTCGTTATTGACGAGGAATCTTTGCAGTGAGCGCGGGTTTGCGAGAAAGTCTCTCGTTTTCCGTACATAATCTAACCTGGCATGTTCGCACAATGTAAGATAAAGCGAAGCTTGAACATAGTCGCTAACCTGTGTGTAACAGGTATACCCACGTAATGGTTAACCAATTATTCTAGCTCTGATGATGTCTACCTGATGCTGTATTCCCTTGGGGATCTATGTATACGCCTATTAGTACAGGGTGGAGGAAGCTACGCGCGTTTAGCGAGTCGTTCGGCGAAGTTCATGCTCTACACAGTCATAGTCTAGTTCATGCCATAGTCTTACAGGCTGGCGTACCAAGTAACAGACTGCCACTAAGACGGGCTGTTTACTTAGCTACTCAGAATATTCAGAAATTGGCCAGAGCCGTGTATCTCTGATCGTTTTCGCAGAATACGTGCATTCTATCATTATCGCTCTGTCTGTTTGCCTGGCGTGCAGGCGAGCCTAAAATTTTGCTATAGCTATAGAAACACAGTCGGTCATGCGATGTATTGTATTTCGTGTGGGTAGGCTAATTAACTGTAGCAAATAAGTTTGCCTGGCCCACGAACGCACGAAGGTGATAGCAAGTCTGAGTGGAAATGCATTTTCATCGCCAAAGCCCTCACTAAATGGCATACACTCGTATTTATTGTGTGTTAAATTGCGGTAACTATCGATTCTCTAGGCGGTAAAATCGTTAGATCGTTGATTTGATTGACCTGAAGTGCAGCATAATATTATATCTGTATATCGTGAGACTACCTGTGAGATCTACGCAACCGTGTAGTCAGGATATATTACATATCGCGGCCGTACGAGCTTTACCGCGGCAGAGTGAAAACAGGCTATACACGTATTCAGTTCAACACTGCTTGTCACATAGCGTAAACGTACATAGATTTAACGAGTATACGACTGCGCCTGGCACCAACCCGATTATTTTCTCGATTACTGTACGACCGGCATACGCATGCGTTTCGCACATAATTGCTAGCCCTGCAACATCCGTCAACTCTTTTGTCATTTTCATCTCGAGTGGTATACGTGCGATAATAATTTTCGCGCGCGCGAGAGTGTGTGTCCGCTTGCTGCACTCTTAACATGTTCGCTCAAAACGCGTTTCTCTCGCGCTACAGTCTGAAACCTGACAACGCCGATTTGTCAGAAAACCCTAATTCGCTCCGAGGCTGCGTTATTGCGTAATGTGTTAATGTAGTGATTACGCGATATTTAAAACTGAGCAGGAAGTAGTTCGACGCGTTGCATAGCAGGATGGCAGCTTCAATGTGAACCTGAAATAGCATCGTTTTTGTGCTATTCAGTTGATTGATTAATTGCAGTGATTACGTGAAACATCTCCCCTAATGAGTTCATAAGCATACGACCTCTAAAGGATAGAATCAGCTAAAGATTATCCACTCACTAGTGTCTCTTAACT